TGTCTTTGACCAAGATCTCACCTCCCACTTCGGGAAATACACTTTGCTTGCCGCGATGAATGAACGGTACACGTAAAGAAAAGGAGATACGACGCGCGATGCGTCTGGGGGAGGGGGGAGTTCAGAGGCCCCCTCCAAAAAAAAGCGCCGGTTTTTTATACTTAAATCGATAGATGAAGGGGCAGTTGCATATGAAAACTTTGCTCTATCTCCATAGTTCCAAATATTGTCAGTAGATTCACCCTCACCAGATTTTTTTTTCAGATAATGCCCCTGGCTTGTGAAATCCATGCCTTTAATAGCACTGTAATACACTGCCTTTAAAGTTTAAACCATTGATTTTTAATCAAATCTCTTACATGATATTCAATGCGTGGATATGAAGAACTTAAAGGTGTAGGTAACTCAAAAAAGGGTGGCTGCCTAGCTTTTTCTTTTGATGAAATTTGTCTTCAATTAATTTTGAAACCTGGCAACGCTTATTCATGATGTGACACGGAGGAGGTGCCAGACCCGTTGGCGCCGCACGCGCGTTTGATGTTCTCTCTCTGCTTAGTATCAGATGTCTCATCGATTAAAAACGATGCGTTGAGACGAAATCTGGTCACCAATGTTTTGAGTTTTACTGAGGGCCCAAATCAACAACGCAAGTAATAATTAGCTGCAGGGTCGGACTGGCTCGCATCTGGCGTAGACCCTTGGCTGGTTAAAGGGGCGTAATGGGATATTTCCTGATGGGGCATCCCCTTCGTAGAGGGGAGTTCAGAAAATTTTGGCAAAGCAGCACAAGTTTACGCTATTTTCAGGTTCAAAGTTTATTAATCGTACAAGAGTAAAAATTGTAAAATTAAACGTATTGAAGTGACCGACAGACTTCTGAAATTAAAGAAAACAAAAAAAAAATTAATGCCACTAGACGCATCCAAGCACCATTATTTCCATAAGAACTGTGTCAATGCTGCGGTTTACACGAGCTTAAGACGTGGGTCTAAAAATCCATCCTAAGAATCAGGCAAGAGCCTGAAAAAAGAAGAAAGAACGAGTATCAACACAGCCGACGACAAGAAAGACGTGTTCGGACCTCTTTTTTAACTTTTCTCCCAAATCTGAGTGACACCTCATTGGAAGCATAAAGCAGGGCATTGAGAACTCACGCTTCGCGTCATCGCGCCTTCAATTTTTCAGATGCAGCACGGAAGTCCATCAAGAACGAATAGTTGTATCTCTGCGCCGTCGTTAACGCGCATCCTTTTCCCTCCCTCTATTTCCATGTTGTGTTTGTTTCCGTTTGTCTTATTTGTAATGTTGCTTTAAACTAGAGCAGAACATTGTGAGTTCACGACTCACGCCATCGCGTCTCACATTTTTCATATGCAATGTGGACATCCATCTTGCGAGAATAGTTGTATGACGTTTACACTTTAGATGTCTCTTGCTCTTGAACTTCGAAATAAATTAAGGTTAAGTTTACCCGAGATATTCTATGATATGTCCAAATCAATAGTCATTTTGAAAAGGAAGAAATATGTTTAGAGGTCTCTAAAGAAGTCTGTAAAGTGTGCGTACGTCTAAAAATCGAACCGGCTATCGCTTCTACGGGGGAGTTACACACAATGAAAGAGGGGGATGATGAAGCGCCTGTATGTCAACAAAAAGGTGACGATTTCACAGGAAAGTGTTTACGCTTCAGACAGTAGTTCTTGGACCTCTGTTCACCACTGTGCGTAAAAGCACCTCTCTTCACTCCGAACTCTCTCTTCTTCCGTTCATTTAAGAAATTTTCCGGATATATTCTCGGTCGTAATTTTGTTTTTCTATTCTTATTTTGCTGTCCGTCAGAGGGGCGCGTTTTTGGCGCGCCAAGGGGGCGTATCTGCCAATGGCAGATTGGCCTTATGGCCAGTCCGAGCCTGATTAGCCGCGCCGCTGAGGTGAACGAAGCTCAAGTTCCTGCAAAATCTAGGAATCCACGCAATCCATCCCTTCAACCCTCTGAGAAATTTCCCTCCAAATTTGAAGTTCCTCACCTATTCGTAAAAAATTGACTTCCACCCGGGTTCGTGAGAAAACCATCATAATTAAGACTGATGTATCGCCCATCGTCACAACATGAAAGGTTTCCTTTTTGGAATCGAGGCATTTTTCGATGAAACGGCGTCAAGCTCAAAGCGCATAGCGCAAAAGATCGACATCACGGCCTCAGATTTGATATCAGCCTATAGTAGAGCCCACGAAGGATGATCCCTGGAGAATCGGGCGAATAAACGAATGGACCATGTAATTTACGCAAAGTTCCACTCAGGCTGATCAGAGCATAAATTACAAAGTTCCATGTAGAATTTCAATTATGATAAATACATTAATAAGTACCTATCGTGTATTTTCTCCCTTTTCTTTAAGACTCAAGTCCGTTGCAACTTCATGTAGCAAATTAAAGCAATTAGTTTTGCGTCTAGTCCATGTAGCGCCAGCGGGCTGATTATTAAAATTGATAGACGAAGCAATGGACAAAGAAGACGTAGAGGGTATGGAGCGATCCTATTGGTTGAAATGAGTGGTTCCTATACACTACCCAAGTAGCAGCAGTGATCGCGATAAATAGCGATTTTATCGGTGGCAATTTATCACAATGTTATCAAATGAAAAATTGCGTTTTATGGCGATTAAATCGCTATACATCGCAATTTTTTGTGCGATAGAATCGCCATCAATTTTCAACGATAAAATCGAGATTAAATCGCCACATATCGCGATTTTTGTTTCGATAATATGGGATAAACTGCCGGGCAATAAAATCGCGATTATACTGCAACAAGATTGAGGATAATCGCTCAGATGTTGATGATCCTAGCGATTTTATCGCCGATAAAATCGCAATATATTACGATTTTTCCGTTGAAAAATGCTACTTGGGTAATGGGAGAAATGATGGACTAACAATACGGTCTCTCGTGGGTTGCCGTTAGTTATAGTCTGTTACCTACCTCCATTGTCCATTGAAACATGAAACCACCCGCTTCCACCAATAGGATCCTTCCATATCCCCTTTATCTTCTTTGTCCATAACTTTATCTATCGATTTCAATAATCGGCCCACAGCGCTCAACAGAAGCTCATTGAACATCCATCGAAGATTAGCGTCCTTTCAAAATCTCCATAAGATCCCTCCTACTTAATAACGTTGACTGTGAACTCATGTTATAATTCTAGAGGGTATTATTTATGTCTCCTAATACACACTAAATAACTGAACCACGGTGTCTACGTGTATATAGGTCAAGGATGGATCAGTTTATACATGGTTGTCAAATTATGAAACTAAAGAGTATTTGAGAGTTACTCCATAAAAATTAGATGAGTATACTCGCCTGTAGGACGAATGTGCGATTCGACTGAAAATAGCCCTGGGTGATGAATATAAAAATTGACATGGTAGTTTTGGACTAAAATTATCATCATGATGAAATTTAGAGTCCCTATGCAATACGCAGTGTTACCCGACGCGTGCATGCTTAAGTGCCCTCGGTTACTTCGATCGTGCCGAGTGCCTCATTTTCTTACCCTTGCGTTCAAGTCTCGAACAATCTATGCTGTAAGCTCCGAGACCTAACGCTCCGTTCCGTTTTGTTTCAGTCTTGGCGTGAACTTTGAAATACATGCCGATTTTTCCATTCGATTCTTATCGGTCCAATCGATCCCGGCCAGAGGGAGATTGGACAAATAAGAGTCGATAATGAAAATCTCTTCATTTTCTTTTAGTTTTTTTTTTTTTTTTTTTTTNTTTTTTTTTTTTTTTTTTTTTTTTTTTTTTTTTTTTTTTTTTTTTTTTTTTTTTTTTTTTTTTTTATAGTTTGGTCAGTCTTTTATCTATGCGGGCCTAAGATAGCGCGCAGCGCCCTCTGGGGGTTGGGCCGCGTAGCAGCCAGGAGGCATAGCCCTCCAGTATACTGCCGTGCTAAGAAAAAAAACCGTATGAACCTTCAGGCGTTGCCAAATTTCCTCTCATAAAATGCGAATTTCCTGGTAAATTTATGAATATTTTCCTCCCAATTTTTCAGATAATTCAGTTCACAATTGGACGAAGTTAAACAGAAAGGAACCAAGCCACATCGGGATCGAACCGAGAAAAAGAGGTTTAAAGTTTGGCTCCTGCCTAAGACTCAATGTAAAAGATAAACTTCAAGTTCAATTTCTGCAAAATTTTCTCCAACAAAAACTTTGAATTTTCTGCGATAGATAGTAGAGTAGTGGTTGAGTTCAAAACCACTCATAACTCAATTTTTACCAAAATGTGGGTTGGTTCCTTTCTGCTTAACTCAGTCCAATTTTACCTAAAGATTCTGAAAATTTGAAGGAACCATATTCATAAATTTCCTAAAAAATAAACATTATATCGAAGGAAATTTGGCAACTCTCGAATTTTCATACGGCGTTCTTCCTTAGCACGGTAGTATACTTAAAACACCCACCATTGTACGTGTTTTATTCAAGGAATTTTAGCAAAGGCAGAAGGCTCATACGGCGTTTCTCCTCAGCATGGGAGTATAATTCGACGGTGAAACTACCAAACCACGTATCTCGGTTTGCCACGTCGCATAAACTTCCTGTCATACTTTATTTTTTAAATGAAAAACTACTTAACATCCAGTCTTGAAAATTTCTGTGATTTTTCCTCTTTATGCGGAGAAAATTCCGTGAAAATTTCAAGGAATGATATTGATTTGGTCTACTTCAAAAAAATAAAATGTGAGAGTAGATTTTTAAACACCGCAAACCGAGATACGTGGTTTGGTAGTTTCACCGTCGATATGCCTTTGAGGTGTACATGACTAAGAGAGTTGAATGTACCTAGCGCGTGGCGTGGCGTTACACTACGACGCCGACGCTTGGGTCGCCGCGCCGCCGTGGCGCGACGCGACGTGAGCGACGTCCATCGGGGGTCCGAGCGGATCCTCGGAAGTGCGATTGAAGCTAAGCAGTCGGGCAGTTGCCCTAGAAACCTTGACTCGCGATCAGCTTCCCGCGTGGTCAGGATTCCGCGTCTGTCCGCGTCTCCGACTCCGCGCCGCGCGCCGCGCTTCCCAAACATTCTGCATTTTCTGCCGTTTCCGCTCCTTCTCTTTCTTTTTTTCGGCTGTGGCTTCTGTCCAGAGCCCCCGGCTATTCCCTTGCACTCCGCCACAAGTGAAAGTCGTGCTTTACCCACCGTCGCGGATGCCGGAAGAGTGACTAACCCCCGCTTACTCACCTGCCTTTGAGAGCGCCCGCCTTTTCGCCTTCGCGCGTCCCGTCTTGTGTCATCGAAATTCCCGGCAACTTTCCACGGAATCGCCGACGAGCTTCGAGAGCTCTCTGCTTGGCTCCTCTCGCAAGGATAAACATTTTCGGCCAGGAGGGAATATTTTGCCGATATTGACCACTGTTTTAGGTATAATATTTTTTAAGAAAGTTTTTTACTTCATGGAGAATTTGCACACAAAAATTTTATTGCTCGCACTGAAAAGAATGGTATGCTGTTTTCGCACCTAGGATGTCAAAAATGTGTCTGGTAATCCTGAGATTGCCCACGCAGTTGAATTTGCATTCATAGGATGTAAAGTTAACTGCGGGGGAGCAAAGGCAGCATCTTGGGATGACCAGATACATTTTTGACATCCTAGGTGCTAAAACAGCATATTATTTTTTCCATGCATATGATAGTGCCTAACAAGCTGAGTTCGCAGTATTTTTCATAATTTTTTCTGACATGGGAAATTGGAGAAAAATAGATTTAAAAGTGAGAAAATTCGCCACCTTGTGACGTCATCTGGCGGCATTTTCCACGTAAACACATGTATTTTAGCAGATTAGGTTATTTTTTCATATTTTCTCCAATAATTGTCAAATTTAGAAACCAAGGATATCCTCGTACTCAATTTTCCTAGCAGTATCATTTTAAAGATGAAATTCACAAAATTTCAGACGACTGCAAATTCTTCACTTTTCCCATCTATATAGTATTTTTTAAGTAAGGAGTATTTTTTCAGTATGAAGTATCTGAATTTTTAAAAGAATATTATTTAAGTCGGCTGGAAGTAAAGTTCTAAAAAATGATGAAATTTCAACTTTTTTCCACCCCTTGGAGGATGACAGTACTTCCTCTACCCTAGGGTAGCGAGAAAGTAAAAACTGTTGGTCCAATCTTGAATAAACATCATTGCAAGAAAAATTAGAGAAATAGCTATTCGCAAAATATCTAAAAAAAATTACAATACTCCGGAGAGACTTTTACATGACAATACTAACTGAAAAAAACGGATAAAATGTGCGAAGAATAATATTGATTAATTACAATCATAGTAGTTTAATGTTATTTAGAGCTGCCTCATTGCACCAATTTGTTCGTGTTCATTTCAAAAAAAAAATTCGCAAACGTGATCACAATGTTTCCATGTGCTTTCCGTTTATCAGCATCCTTTGAGCCCCTTTCTTTCTGTTTGCAGAGAGGGAACATCATCGCGGGCTGACGCAGTTTCGATCTGCTCCGACAACAAAGCTTTGGTAAAAGCGGGCAGCTTTTCACACTTACTACACGATGCTAGACGGTAAAACTTACTTTTTTTCGGTGTTATTCCTATATCATGAGATGCAAAATGTATTGGCCGTTGGGGTGTGCGTGAAAATTGAAAAGTATCACATTTGCAAGTACTGAGTGACACTTTTTCAATTTCCAGAAAAATTCGTATTACCTATGTTAAAAGTTCCATTCGACTGCGGCTATGACACCCATTATATTTAAAATAAAATATGAAGGCAATAAGGCAAAATTTGAGCATTTAAATCGTAATATCTTATTCATTTAAGTAAATTGATCAATCGATCTAATTAAAAAAGTATTTAATGCTTCGATTTATTGCTTTTAAAGAAAAATGTCGCTTGGCTCCTTAATTAGTATACAGATAATCAAATATTTCAAAATTCATCAGAAATTATCACAATCGCAACTGGGAATTCTTTAGGTTGCAGCTTTGGGTGGATTCGTGAGAAAATAGAAAGGGAGATGGGGAGGGGGAGGGTGATATTATTACTAAGGAAACTATATCAGGCAACAAAATGCCATATCGATTCGGTACTTGCGAGTGTCACCGATTTAAAAACGTAAAAGGATGTGTTACGCAACCAGCACAAAATTTTGTAGTCTCAAAGTCTTAGTTACGATACTTAGTACTTTTTTTTATTTTTTTTTTATTTTATTTTCTTTTCTTTTCTTCTTTTTTTGGCAACCTATACAGATTCACAAATTTAATGGAATTGCCTAGTAGTCTAGCTGCCTCGTTTATTTTTAGTCATGATATTAAATGCTTTTTTTTATTTAAGTATTTTTATTATTTTTTTTTCGGCAACTTGTACAAATTCATAAATGCATTAAATACCACTGCATCATTTGTCGATGAATCGATGTGAAGTCTTCGGAAATGATGAAAACCAAACTGAGGTCACCGCCGGTTCGGGATCATCTTACCGTGGAAATCACCCACACACGGAAACGACAGTGAGTTCAGTGTCCGAAAGTTGGCAGGAGTCCAGGTGTGACGACCCGTTTTTTGCCTTTAGCAATTTACGTGGGTCCAGTTCCGCCCCGGCCGCGACATTTTCTCACTTTCCGGCGTCTTTTGCCGAGAAGCGGGCAACCTGACTCACACACGACGATCCACTTGCATTTCATCGCCGACGAAAATGGGTGATTCTCCCGTTAGACGACTTAATTCCGCGCGTGTTACGCTTCATAATTTCAGGTATGCATTATCTGAATTTCAATGCCCCTGTATAATTGGTGCGTGTTCTGCATGGATTGAAAGCGTTTTCCACGACTCGAGCGTGAGGGCAGGGCAGGGGGGAGGGGGGGAGGAGGGCACGAGGGGCCGGATATCCTTGCCCTCGTCTTGAGAGTTCGCGTTGAGAGTTAAAAAATAACTCTATATGGTCCGCCCGATTGTTCCCTAGGTGTCAGTGTGGGAAATTCTTCTCATCTGGCTTCAAAGGGAAAAGTTTCGGGTGCCTCATCCGAAAATTGAATTGCTTTGTTTAATAATTAAAACCTATTAATTTTTCCATCCTCTGGTGAGCAACGAGGCTCATAGCAATAGCCATATCCCAAAGTTCATCATGATGAATATGTTAGGTGTAACCTTTAAAACCTATGCAATGGACCACTCCGCTGTACTGCCGTGCTAAGGAAGAACGCCGCACGGTGGATCGAAACCTGCAAAAAGTCGGACATGGGCGATTCTCACAAATAGTCATTTCATTGATGTAAATGTCTTCCCAAAGAGTTATATTTTATGACACAGGTATTGGTTTTCAATTTTTTAACCCCAGTTTAACGCACACAGCCTCCTAAAGTGGCTCAGGCGGCACTCGAAAAATGTTGCCTCACTCGGGACAAACCGTTCGCCTGTTGGCATTTCCCTCCGATAGATTTATGACTATTTCTGACTAAAGTAGCTTGTCCTCCTCCTTTAGTAGAATATATTTCACTAATAACAAGTTAAAATATCGCTATTTTTATAAGCGGTATTCTTGCTTAAAAGTACCCTCCTCAATACCGTAAAAATAATAATATAGCTAGACTTTTAACTAGCTATTTCAGCGTATTTCAGGGAAACCTTTGTATAGCAGTGTTAACTGATCCCTGAAGATTCATTATCAAGAAAAATTGGCTGCTCCAAAGTGCCCTTTTGGGAATAAAGCTTAAATGATTTTGAAAAAGTGAAGTTCATAAAATGGTGGCTCGAGAGAATTCGAATTTCACAGGTCTGTGGCAAATAAACACCGGGCATTTGATAGGTGATCTATATGTAATTTTTAGTGCTGAGTCCGGAAATGACCTTGGTTTTTCTCCTACACCCACCAATTTTCCGGAAAATTGAGATTTTCCACTTAAAATGGACTTTTCGGGAAATGTGATTTTCCGGAAAACTGGTGCATGGTAAAGAGAAACCAAGGTCATTTTAGAATCCAGGAGACAAAAATACATGAGAAAACATGCCTTGCGTGGTTAAAAAAATGTCCACGTTGTTTTAGATAACGGGGTTTTCCTCTCAAATGTCCTAGTCGACGCATATGATACTAATCCGTTTGTTTTGCGTCTGAAAAGACGGGAAAATTATATCAAGTTGGTGTCTAATGGAGCATTTTTCATCTACTACTTGATGCTAAAGTAAAAAATGGCCTAAATTCTTTTCTATCTTCTAACTATTTCCCAAAAACTCGCGTTTTTTTTACTCCGGATTTTTTTTTTTTTATGTTTAATTTCTTCGGAAAATTAGAAGTTAATAGAGAAAATTGAGGTAATATGAGCTTCAGCAGCAATCATTAAGCCAAAGAAGCTCCATTAGAAAACTTAGTATAAATAAAGGCAGTGTACAATGGTGACTCGCGGGGCCCTTAATTAGGAAGGCTCGGATAATACATGATTTGTGTTGATTGATGTGTATTTGATTTGTATTTTTCTCTCATATTTTTCCTCCTTGTCATTTTCTTTTGTTAGAAAGCTAAAAAGGTGCCCAGGAATGAAGGGGAAAGGAGATCCTCTGTTTTCCTCTCAACATTTTCGGATTTCTATTAATTCATTTTTTGGGGGAAAGGAGGGGGAATGGTAAAAGAGATGAGTAATATACGTTTTATATACGATATTTAAACATTTTACCGGAGAGAAAAGTCCATTGAACACTTAAAACTCCTATTGAAATGAGTGTAGAAAGTTTAAACTTATCTGTTGTTAAACAGTATCTCTTTATTTATCTGAAATTGTGCCAAAATACATACCTAAACCCAATAATCAGGAAAATAGTCATCAAAAATGAAATCTGCGACGAAAAATACATAAGAATCATGTATCCTGATTTGTTTTATGAGCGCAAACACTACGTAAATGAGCAAACCAAGTCGCGTGATGTGCCATGTCCGGCCTGCCCTATGACTCGATCCACCGTGCGCCGTATGAACATTCGAGAGTTGCTGAATTTCCTTCGATAAAATGTATATTTTTTAGGAAAGTTATGAATGTTCTTCCTTTAAATTTTTAGAATCTTCAGTTAAAATTGCGAACTGAACAATCTGAAAAATTGGGAGAAAAATATTAATAAATCGACCAGGAAATTCACGTTTTATCCAAGGAAATTTGGCAACGCCTGAAGGTACCGCGCGTTTTTCCTTAGCACGGCAATATACTACAGACACATTTCGTGTAAAAATTCCAATGTAGCTAAATTTCTTTCACTTAAATACAAATCTTCTGGAAAATATGGAGAATTTTTACCCGTGCCATGCGGAGAGTCTTTCATCCCTTATGATTACCAAAGTTTGCGGAATTTTCAGGCAGAATTTCCGTAATTTTTTTAAAAATAATGTAGCATTTTATAGAAGGAATTTTAGCAGCATTTGAATGTATGTACGGTGTTCTTGGCGGTAGGTACTGTAAACTAGCAATTATTTACAAATATTTTTACCCGCTATACAAGATCAAAGACTTTTATCCGGGGTAAAACTTGAATCTTTATGACCGATAGGTGCTCAACTGCTCAAGCTATACTATAAAAAGAAATGGAAAAAAGAAGGGAAAACCTGTAGAATAAAGATTATGAGAAGAAGCTTCAGTAGAAAGAAGAATTTCAGGAAAAGAGACTTGTCGCGTTGCTCCACCCCATCCTCCACGCTCATTCACACATGCGCTAGAGCTAGGATGCTTGAAAATCTTTTTCCAGTGCATAATGTTCGAGTATATTTCCAGGGTGGAGGCTTTACGACATGAATTACGATACCTCAGTGGGTGGGCTGAACTAGTCTGAGTAGTCATCTAAATTTATCCTCTCCTATCAACATTTGAACTGGGTGGAGGTTCATGAGCCGCTAGGGCAGAGACCGACATAAGCGGCTCTACTTTTCTAACCCTTCGTTTAAGTCTCCGGTGAATGCTCCGCGCTGCGCACACAATCAACTGCGTAAAGTAATATTTCAGTCATATGATGTTCGGTATTTCTTAGCTGGTATTAGCTGCTCGCTTATCGTCTGTCGTTTTCATATTATAGACGTAGAGCGTCTCGGATTTTGTTCTGATTCTTAAATAACAGAGGAATTTATAGATTGGATACATGAGATCATAAAGATGTAGCATTTAGAGCAATGCTATCGATCTGACTTATTACGTCTCTTTGACAATCCAATGTTCTTATTGATGAGAGAAGGGGGAGGGGAAGCTACCCGAAACTTCCCAAATTCCATAGTCTGCGGACTGATTATTGAAATTGATAGACAAAGCAATAGAAAAAAGAAGACAACTTGAGCTATCCTAAATTGGTTGGAACGGGTGGTTGTTATTGACTGAAGGGAGAAAATGATGGAATAACTATAGGGTCTCTCGTGGGTTGCCTTTAAGAAGTCTAAGCTCATCTCCTTTGTCCATTGCAACCACCCGCATAATCTACTTATGAGATCGCTCTATTTCTTCTTCGTATTTTCTTTGTCTATCGCTTTGTCAATCGCTTTGTCAATCGCTTTGTCAATCGATGTTAGTAATACCTAATCAGCTGAAGCTATGCGTCTTGTTGGGCAGTGGAAGATGAGCGGATGGGTCTCGAAACTTGAACTTCTAGATTCTCGTCAAAATCTTGAAACACTGGAAAAAAAACACATAGGATGTAGAGTCCAGACTCTTGAAAACATCGACAAGAAAAAATACTCTTGATTCAATCGGGTTTTTGCTTGAATCAAAAGGAAATCCGCTTAAATGAAGAGGCTTGGTTCTTGATTTAAACTAGATTCTGATTGAATCAAGAGTACTTTTTCTTGTCGATGTTTTTAAGAGTCTGGACTCTAGATCCGACGTGTTTTTTTTTTCCAGTGAATTATTTCATCAAAAGCAAAGTGAGCATTCAAGTCTCGACCCAAACAAATACGAAAAAAATTAAAAAAACGAAAGTAGATCTGCTTATCTGTTGATCGATCAACTACCGAATCGTCCTCCAAACTGCTGAAAGTCCACGTTGAAGTGTGTGTTTTTCTTTAAGCTATATTTGTTTTTAACTGTGTTCAAATTTTCGATTTAATGGCTCAAGTTTTTTACTATCGGAAACGGAGCTTTAAAGATGGAGAGAGCCGATCGACGGTTGCGTGGCTAGGAGCTCATAATTTCGATTCACCCGCGTATAAGCTAGAAACTGCACTGAAAAAAAAATCTCGGTGTATTTACTAAGAAAAGGGTGAAATTACAGAGAATTCAGGGTTTTATTTGATCCCAGTTTTTTCTCAGTAAAATTACCATTTATGGAATTGGTAATTTTACCGAGAAATCTCGGTAAAATTATTGAACTTTCTCGGTAATTTTACTGAACCTTGGTAAAGACGCCAATATTTTTTATAGACTGTGGTAAAATTAACGAGAAAGTTACCGGGAATTGATTACCAATAAAAGTGGTATTCTTACCTGAAAAAAACAGTAAAAATACCGGTTTTTAGGTAAGCTTACCATTCTGTCTTGGTAAAATTACCAATAATTGGTAAAAAAAATGAGACGGTAAAGGTATCAACGGACCTTGGTAAAAACGCCGATAATTTTTTTTCAGTGTGGAGAAATTATTCACCCAAGCCCACTCACTCAAAGTTCCTGACCTGAGTCAAACTGTATAACTACGAGGATGCGTTCGCTACTGTTGTTGACATCATACGACGAAAAATTCTCGAAAGCGGGGGGTTCCGCTGCTTTGTTCGTCGCTCTATGCGAAAAAATATCTCTTTTTACGCAACGAGTGATGATGCATGAGTGATCAGCGGGATTATCTCGTAACTCGACACCCGCTCGAAAAGTAAAATCGGAAAGAGAAAAAAGTGCGAGAGGATGCAGGGTTACGGGAGTGGTTTGGCATCATTAAGACTATTGTCACACGATCGGATCCGAGAGAAAACGGATGATGATTCCACGCTGCCACGTTTTTAGATATACTCTTTTGTTCCGGGAGATTTTCGTTTCTTCCTGGAGGTATTTATTTCCGAAATTCAATGTCTCCAATTTGAGAATTTCTATATGAGTATTGTTTGAATATTTGCCACTGCGGTTTTGGGGACAAGGGGTATATTTTCTCAGAAGACCCTGGTAAAAATTGGCAGTAGAATCTGTGTTCCAAAATACCATAGACCTACAGCCGGCTGTAAGATTTCCAATAGCTTCTAGCCGACAACACAATTTCTTATAGCCTTTTATAGCCGATGGCGATTAAGCAACAGCCTGGCGATAAAGTGTATGCTAAACATTACTAATTACGGATGCTAGGACTTAGTGAGTTTTTGGACTACCGCTCTCTTTTTGGGCCGTAGTATTTTGATTTATTTTGCAAGGAAAGCTCCGTACTTTTGAAGGATGCCTGCCATTCCTAATATGTTGGAGCGCCTTCAATTTCGTATGATACTGCGCAATACCTCTGGTGTGAAATAGTTGCTTCAAGCGCCGTGGTACGCTGCGGCGCGGCGCGGCGGGCGGGCATCCAACGCGCATTGACGCCTACAAACCCAACAGGGATACTTCACGCATTGCGCAATGCGTGAAGTATCCCTGTTAGGTTTGTAGGCGCCAGTGTGCCGCGGCTCCGCTTTGTGTTAGGCTCTAATATTTAATCTCGTGGAGTCAGCGTTTTTCAACTCATGACTTAGAATTGTTTGCACACTCTGTATGGATTATTCTCATTTAATATAGGAAAATATAACGTGCGTTTAGTGAATATTAAGGTGATTCCGTACAAACTTAAGGATTTATAAAGCACACAAATTCCTACACAATTTCTTATAGCCTTTTATAGCCGATGGCAACAAAGCAACAGCCAGGCGATAAAGTGTAAAGCCCGGCGATAGGAACTATATCCCGGCTGTATAATTTTTTATCGCTTCGTGTAGCCCGGCCGTATGATTTTTTCCACTTTCTACAGCCAGCTATATGATTTTCTATCGCCTTCTTCAGTCGGCTATAAGGGCTCCTATGATATTTTGAAACGCAGCTCCTACCGCCAATTTTTACCAGGGGACGAATGCATCAGGAGAAATACCCCTCAGTACCAGGGTGGCAAAATTTCATAAAAAATAAAATTTTGAAATTTCGCGTAAAATACTTCATGAATTTTCAGAAATTTATGACAAATATTGAAAAGTGCCGGTTCCTTTTCATGTTTCGCAAAATCCAAAAATGTTTACTCTCTTCTATTTTTGTGTGTTTAAGTGCGAGTTGCATACTGTAGCCCCTAAAAATATGAGATATTTCACAGCCTCATGAAATTTCTTGAGATATTTTTCTGAAATTTCCACTTTTTTATTTCTTTCTTACGTTTCGTGCCACCCTGCAAGTATCCTTCTTTCTCGGCGATGGAGACCCGAAACTTGACAACGCGAGAGAGTCCAAATGCTGGGATCGGAATGATGGACTATCGTAGATCTCGGGGGACCTCCGAGATGTGCCCGAAGCCTGGGCCCGACTCATTGGGCGGCGAGTACATGAGCCTAATTACTTTTGTTGTTTGGCCTGTTGTTAGGCGGTAATTTAGATGCCCGTGTCGGATAGCGCCCAGGATCACCGGCAGCCAGTCGAGGACCATGATTCGTCTTCATTCGCCCAGGACCCACCTCACTCCCAGACTCTATCTCCTCGTCCTCCTCTCCTGGATCTGCCATGTAAGTCTCGTCTTCTCCGCGCTTTTTTCCGCTCCAACTATGAATTGGACGTATTTCTAACAAACGGAACTATGTGCATTAAGACATGAGCCCCGAGATCCATAATAATATATGTGCAACAGGGCTCACGTCATATTGCATATAGTTCCGTTTGATAGAAATACGTCCGATTATCCGGCGAAAGAGCTATTATTCTATTTCGTCGAGCAAAAACCTTTGTAAGTATTCATGCTGATTTCTGAAAAAAGAGAAACAATTTGATACAAAATTCTCGCTTGCTCATTAGAAATAGACGTGCATACTCTGCCATGCTAAGGAAGAACGCCGTATAAACCTTCAGACGTTGTCAAATTTCCTCTAATAAAAAGCAAAATTGCTGAAAAAATTGTGAATATTATTTTCCAAAAATTTTAGACAATTTTGTCAGCTAATTTAATCTAAAATATCCGGAAGTTTCAAGGGAAAATAAGCATAAAATTCGTCAAAAATACATGTTTTATCGGAGGAAATTTGGCAACTCTCAGATGTTCATACGGCGTTTTTCCTCAGTACGGCAGTACTGTCCTGCTAAGTAAGTAAGAGCACGGCGTCGATTGATCCCGCCTAGAAAAAAGTGGTTGCGAAAACGTTTTCGCAACATATCTGCCAAAATTAACGTTGCAGCAACGTTTTTGCAACGTGTTTATGGAGGTATTATTGCATGACACTTGCCGGGTAGCCGAGGCTTCCAGAGAAAATCGACTTTTACTTATCGGTACAAATGGATCGAGTCAATTGGGAAGGTCGGACAAAATTTGGAAACTTCGCAAGCTCATAACTCCGTTTATGCAAAACATTGAGATTTTAAAAATGGTTCCACTGGTTTTCTCGTGAAATTTTCTACAAGAGGCACCCCTCATTATTTTCAACGTGACGAAATAAACATCAAAAGTTCCAGTTTTAGTAAAAAAATTCATGTCCGACCTTTCTGATTGATTCGATTCACTGTGCGCTGTGGCGCTCGGTCCGAGTAAAGGAAGTCTTAGGAGCCGGCCGGCCCCATGTTCATCCTCATTTTTTACACGTTTTAATTCAATTTTTGTTATAATTTTAGCAAGCCGATTTCGTTCCTCTAAATACACAGAGTGATATATCAGCCATGATAATTTTACCGAGAAACTATTACTACTGCATCGGAGCGTTTAGTGTGTTGCCTATCTACTATTAGAAGGGGCTTCTCTTGTGAGCAGTACCTTGTGCGACTGCGGTAAAATTGTAATAAGTTGCGATATTTTTTGCATTGCACGTTGCCTATTCTTCCGATGCATTAAACACAATGAAGAAAAAAAGTTCTTGAATGGGAACCGAAGTTGAGGTCATATGGATCTCTGAAGTTTTTGGATCACGCATCCGAAAACTTGAGGTCCAACTGCCGAAGTTCGGGTCAGACTTCTGAANTCATATGGATCTCTGAAGTTTTTGGATCACGCATCCGAAAACTTCAGAGATCCATATGACCTCAACTTCGGGTCCTACGCACGAAGTTTTTTTTTCTCCGTGTATCAATTTTTTCGTTGCTGCTGCGGCAGTTTCAATAACGATCAATTATCTCATTAAAAAAAAGAAAAAGAAAAAAGAAGATGAAGAAAAAAAATGAAACTATAGATACACTGTGAAGGACCCAGTGCCCTAGAAAATTCACGGCCAGGTTGATGCCCTTCTTGAAACCGAGGCGGAATGCCAAGGAAATCCTACCGTGTCGCGACGAGTAAAACAAACACTCGACGTCCGACGAATTTCGGGTCCCTGCTCGGGCAGACGGAACGGATCCGTTGGTCCTCCGGGAGAAATCCCCGAGACAAAGACGAAAGCTCCGCAAACAAATCCCCGTTCGAATGTGGGTAAATAAAACAAGGAGGCAGCAGTGGCGTGGCGTGAATTGCGATATATCGATTGTTATGCCATTTAAACCTAAGGTAATTAATCGATTATTAAGGTGTTCGCTGCGAACACCCTGTTTATCGATCATTTTCCATAGCTTTAAATGGCATAACAATCGATATATCGCGAAGCACGCCACGCCACTGAAGACGCGGCGAATGCGGTCGGGGCGAGGAGTGTCATTCGCGGCATCGCGGCTTGTTTGACGAACAACGCACACGATCGCGGCCGCGCCGGGCAGAGGGTCAGGGAGCAGGATGAAGGAGTGGGCGAGTTAAATGCTGAGTGTTTAGCTAAAGATGACCGAGAAATTTCCCATCGATTACAGTCTTTGCGGTCTGCCCGCTCTCAATTCTCCATTGTAAAGGTGCTGCTCTCCGAACGTGTGCCGATGTTGGTGCACATACCTACTCCTGTGCTCGGGTAAATACGGACCGCGTTAAACAGAGAGGAAACGAGCCAAATCGGCTTTTGCCAAATTTAACAGGGAAATTTTAGTTTTTACGAGAGAACGTTCGTGCGGATTCCTTTGAAAATTTTGAGGAATTTGCTTTGTATCGTGGAGAAAATTCACTGAAATTTGCACAAAATTCGCCATCGACTATAAAAGGCTATAAGAAATTGTGTAGAAATTTGTGTGCTTTGTAAATCCTTAAGTTTGTACGGAATCACTTTAATATTTACAGAAGGCACATTATATTTTCCTTTACTACATATTTATTTTCATCAATTAAAATGAGAATAATCCATACAGAGTGTGCAAACATTTCAAAAGTCATGAGTTGAAAAACGCTGACTCCGCGAGATTAAATATTGGAGCCTAACACAAAGCGGAGCGGCGACGCACTGGCGCCTACAAACCTAACATGGATACTTCACGCATTGCGCAATGCGTGAAGTATCCTTGTTAGGTTTGTGGGCGCCAGCGCTGGCTGCCCGCCCGCCGCGCCGCGCCGCAGCGTACCACGGCGCTTGAAGCAACTATTTCACACCAGAGGTATTGCACAGTATCATACGAAATTGAAGGCGCTCCAACATATTAGGAATGGCAGGCATCCTTCAAAGGTACGAAGCTTTCCTTGCAAAATAAATCAAGATACTACGGCCCAAAAAGAGAGCAGTAGTCCAAAAACTCACCAAGTCCTAGCATCCGTAATTAGTAACATTTAGCATACACTTTATCGCCAGGCTCTTGCTTAATCGCTATCGGCTATAAAAGGCTATGAGAAATTGTGTTGCCGGCTATAGAAGATATTGGAAATCTTACAGCCGACTGTAGTAGGTCTATGGTATTTTGGAACACAGATTCTACTGCCAATTATTACCAGGGTTATCATTTCACCCGTGGCGCAACGGGTTGTATTGTACTGCGATAAGCTAAAATGACAGACCGCCTTCAATTCTTCGTTTATACTACAAAGGCATCCAGTAGGCACGAATGTTTGCACACATGTGCATAGGATGTGAGCACTTTTTGTGTTTCAGTTTTCATATAGCGATGTGCTGTGCATGTTTAGTAGAACAACTATTCGTAAATTGGAAAATTATGATCTTTACAATATTTTTTGAAAAAAGATGCGGGGAGCAATGCTTCCCTTGCTTATATGGACGTCACAGGTGCTTCAGATCAAATTGCGATTATAAAGCCCTAAAAATTTAAAGAGGAATAATCTTCACAAGTTTTCAGGAACTTCGTGTTTGATCGAACTAAGTTCGGCAACGTCTCAAGACCAGTGGCGTGGCATGCTTTGCGATATATCGATTGTTTTTCCATTTAAACCTATAGAAAATGATCGATAAACAGGGTGTTCGCAGCGAACACCTTAATAATCGAGTCTTTACCATAGGTTTAAATGGCATAACAATCGATATATCGCAATTCACGCCACGCCACTGCACTTAGCTGCTCAAGACTCATACGGCATTCTTTCTTAGGACGGAAGTATGCTATAGTGCTCCGGTAAAATGCCGTATGAGCACCGAAATAACGTTGCAATATTGCTTCTGATTCAAGATAAAATTAAAATACGAATTTCCTGGCAATTTGGGAATATTTTCCTTAAATTTCTCAAATATCTGACATTATCAGCAATTTAATTCAGCTAATCCGAGAATTTTTTTAAAAAAAATTGAAAGTTTGCTGGGAACGTATACATTATTGGGAGAAATGTGGCAACTAATAAGTTCATAAGATGTTCTTCCTTGGAATGACATGCAGTATAAAAAGTGGTGGTAACGTATGCTCAGTTTTATATCTCTGCCTTTCTCTCAGCCGCAAGAGCGCAGATACTAAAACTACTCGTAAAGCACCGTTCTTTATGATCAAACTTTCTTTCCAATAAAATTTGATCTGATATGGTTGAATGCAATTTTAATCTAACTTTGATTACCTACATACCGCAAGGGCAAGGTCACTTCCAAAAATTTGATTTAGAAAGGATTCTTCAAAACACTCTCTGAATAAACGAAGTACTGGGCACGTGATTGAAATAAATTTTAAATGTTTTACTAGGTATGAAATTTCAGCACTTTTACCTCATTTGGTCAATAAGTAAACACCGATTTTAGAGAATCAATAGCATGAGTTCCATATCATTAATATAAACNGATTACCTACATACCGCAAAGGCAAGGTCACTTCCAAAAATTTGATTTAGAAAGGATTCTTCAAAACACTCTCTGAATAAACGAAGTACTGGGCACGTGATTGAAATAAATTTTAAATGTTTTACTAGGTATGAAATTTCAGCACTTTTACCTCATTTGGTCAATAAGTAAACACCGATTTTAGAGAATCAATAGCATGAGTTCCATATATTAGAAGTACATGCAATTTGTGATGCAAATAAGAATTTTGAGTTTCCTTTATTTCAATTTCACTGCAGTAAGTTTCAATAATCTGAACCCCTTCAATGCGTAGATAGGCAACACAGGAAGAGGAAAACATTGAAGAAAAAGGAGAAGTGAAAAAAATTGGAGAAAAAATATTCTTTATATCCCCAAAAAATTGTGTTGTATCGAAGGAGTGTTGGCAAGGTCTGAAGGTTTGTACGGCGATTCCTTAACGCCCACCTTCGTAT